ACATTAATACGATTAAAAACCATATCCAATATTCTTTTCACAACTTCAGTGTTAGATTATTCAGAACCAATACCGCCCTCAAAAAAATCTATTAGTTTCCACTTATAGACACCATACCAAATCATTTAAAAATGAGTGTCTCTATACTTTGACTTTAACACAGGTAAAACCATAAAATAATGACACAAAAAATCTGAATAAGAAAAGCTGTGATCCAAAGGACTGTACGTAAACATGTTGATTTAAAGGGGGAAAACACATTTGAAGAGAAAGAATGTCCCAGTACATTCAGAGCGATGAAATGACAAATGAAAAAAAAAACAACTTATCTGGCAAGTGGTATTAAATTTTGCTGTATCTGCATTGACAATGAGTGGGGTGTTGGTTTATTTAATGTGTTCCATCGGAGCAGTGACAGTGAGACACCGGCAGGAAGCGGCAGGGCAGAGCAGCTCTGGGGAGCAGCAGAACAGCCATTGCAGTGTCGTGGCTCAGTAACAAAATACGAAAGGGAGCTGAGGAAGACCTGGCAGCCACTTTCCCTGTTCCCCCTGGCCGGCAGGTTGATTTACATGATTATTAGAGCGAAGAAACTCTGCGAATACACCAACATCTAAACAAACGGTAAGTTTTCCATCAATTTATGTCACAACAAAAACGGGTGTTAGTGTTCGGCTTTTTAGCTTGTTACTCCGGTAGCTAATGATGCTACATTAGCATTGCTCTTTTGCTTCGTTTGAACCTATTTAACCTTGATAGGAAGACAAATTATACCCCACTGTGCCCAATAACCGTATGGAACCCTATTTGATCGAGAAACATCTATCTTAGCCTATATTTGCGTGTTTGTAGGTCACGAGAAAACTATTTGTCAAGCTAACCGCTAATTGGCTAGCGCAGCTCGTAGCCGCTCGATGCGACGTCGCCTACAGAATATGACACGTAGCTTGTTCCTAGGTCGGTTAAAACTAAAAAAACAAAGACGCAGCCTCCACTATTGGCATAGATCTGAAAAAAAAATCTAAGACATTAAGCTTTTTTTCGTCACACCTAACGTCTATTACGCTGCATTATGTAATGTTTAGCGCCGCTCCATCTTAGTATAATGTTATGACATTTTTCAAGTCTGACAACTTAAACACATTTTATAAATATATTTCTTTGAGCTCGTGTTTATGTTTTTTGTTTTCTTCTGCTAAGCTCACACTTTCGGCAGTTTATTTAACAATAATGTCAAGTTAGTGCTGTAATCCAACTTGTAACACATGGTAAAAGATGCTGGAACTGTAACATCAAACACAAGCTCATATGCACACCGCTTTTAACTAGTTTTTTTTTTTTATTAAGATGTTGAAGTGTGTTTGACAGCTTTAAAAATATATTATAAGTTGATATTACACTGGTATTTATAGTTTGTATAGCATTAATTTAATGTGAATGGTTTTTATATGCCTTGGTTAGTTTATTATATATCTAGCCAAGGCTGTCTAGTGTGGAAACTCTTCATTCATTATATTTGTAGTCCTGATTGTAATTTTGTGATCATTACAAATTACGACATCACAAGTGACGCTAGTAAGTTTAAATGTTTTGAATATTTGTTTGGTGTGTGGCTCTTCTGACATTTAGGCCTAAATTTAAGCCCTGGGGTTAAATGTGTTCATCTAAGGCTTTTTCTGTTAATGAAGAAACACTCTTATAGTACCGTCATATGAAACTAGTCGCAGTAACAAGGCTCAAGAGGTCAGGTAAATTCAATCTTCTGTCTTTCAAGTTATTTGGACTTTCCATGTATCCTACTTTTGATTTGCAAAAGCTGTGTGAACTTAAAAAGGAGAGAGTAAATGACAAACTTGAGTCAGTGGATGTTTTTGGAACTAATCACATAAATCACATCAGTTTTACTGTTTATTTTAGTGGTCATTAAGTCATCAGGGCTCATATAAGCTGTATCTGTTCTTTTTTGTGTAGAACATATAGTTCAGGACTGAAAGCATGTTATGGATTTCAGCTTGAATAAAAACTTGAACAGCATATTCAGTCATGGATAAAACGTCCACTGACTGGTATGACATTTGATTTAAACTCAGATAAAACTTTCCGACCACTTTCCGTTTCATTCTCAAACACTGATGCATCACACCACTGGCACGGTTGTCTGACAGCAGCTGATCGTGTGTGTGGGTGTGTGTGAGTTTTTTTTTTTTTTTTTTGTATTTGCCTAATCTTGACCTTTGTCTACCTTATACTTTAGCCCTGGAGTGATTGCATCACTATGTAATTAAGGCAAGAGTTCAACACTGGCTTACCTTGCTAAATGCCTTAATTTCAATCACAGAAGATACGATTTGAAATTATCATTAAGTATTTCTTTGTTTTGTTTTTGTGAGGAATTATATGCTTGTAAAAAAGTTTTCGTGAATTTGTACGGATGCAATAAACATGTTGATCATATACTTTAAGCTTATATTTTACACAATAATAGCAAGTCTTTTCTTAATACAATTTGGAAATCTTGAAACACTTTGTTTAATTTAGGGTGTTTTAAAAGAGTTTGTTTGACCAGCTTGTGGTTAGTCTATCAACTCCCCTGAAACAGGTTTTCTAGTTTCTAAAGAGAAGCTCATTTTCAAAAGATACAAAAAGCTAATCTTTAGGTGTAGAAACCCTTTCATTGTTCTTATTGATGTCGTTGCAATCACTCTGATAGTCAGATGAAGTGCATTTTCTTTAAGTGGAGCTTGATCTCCTGTTATCTGCTGCTGCAGGTCAGTTATTTCCACTGTAACAAAAAAGAATGTTTGGCTTGCTTATTTCATCAATGGGGAAAAATTGTCCAGGTTTAATTCAATCTACACTTATGTTTATGTCTTTACTTCAACAAATGGTTAACTATTTAAAAATAAATTATGTGGACAAGAGATGTATTTCAGAAGTGGTCTTTTTGAATTTATAATTTTTCTTCTCTGCATTTTCATCACATTCGTACCACTACACTTCAAAGTTACGGATAACTTATAAATAACTTGTGGATGTTGTTGTTTTGTCTTTCAGAATTTAACAGCTCCGGATATGTCATTCCTATTTGATTGGATTTATAGCGGTTTCAATAGCGTACTACAGTTTTTAGGTGAGTGCTGCTGATATCTTTGTTTATAAAACATAAACCAAAGTGTAAAAATCTGTTTACTTTCAGAAAACTAAATGTTTGAAAAACATTTACCCTTACATATTCAGAAAAGATTTTGATGGTGGACTTATACTTTGGCGGTGCTTCTCAAAATATTCCAGATTTTGGTTTCCATACTCTCAATTCACCAAAGAACTCCTGTGGCCTTCAATAATTTTTTGCTTATAATCTGGTTAGCATTCAGTTTTGCTATAAAAGTTAAACCTTTAGGGAATAACAAGATGATTTGGTAAAAGTCATTAGAAGATATTTGACATTTCCACATGTAGTGAGATGCAGCTATTTCAACAAGTGGTTTGGGATTTGAAATGATGAATATCATGAGGCAGAAAGGCAAACTTGCTTTGTGGTTAAATATTTATATATTATTAACGTTATTGCAGGTTTTTCTTTATACTTATGTAACTAAAATGAAGAAGAGCTTTAAAAATTGCAAAATATTTTTGTAACAGGCGTTCAGTGTTTTCAATATTTACAAGTCGGTTTGTTCCTGGAAATCTATTTATGCTGCAATGGAAGTTACTCAAAAGACTGCATGTGTATGTCCAACTGTCGCCTGAATAATATGTTTGATTTAAAAATCCCAATCTACCATTTTATGACGTTAAAACTAGAATATAAAAATATATAATTGCTCACAAAGGGGAAATAAATGTTTTTGTAGCTCATAGAGTTACTACAGGGGAAAGATTCTTTAGAAATGCCCAGAGAGTTTTGTTCCTTTGTTTCTAATTTGAATTTCTAACAGATTCTAGATTGACAGCAGAATATCTCTTAAAGCGTACAAATAGGTCTTCTCTCCAGAGTGCACTGTTCTAGTTTCAGTGTCAAAGCCACATGTAGTTTTTGTTCCTGTTCTCCCAGTTTGACAGGTCGCACAGAGCCACTGAGTAATGGTGACGTTTAGCAAAGCTGACTCAGTCAGAAATCTTTTAAATCCGCTCAGTTTCACTGTACTTACTCAGAATTTGTACTTATTGAACCCAAGATTAAGTTGAGTAATGAGTGGCCTCAGCTTGCACATCTCTTGTGGTTTCTTCAGTAATCTTCCCATGTTAGAGAACTGTCAAAATCTTTTCTCATGTAAACTACAGAAGCACAGGAGGCGTTTACTTTTCGAAGCGTTACTCGTGCCAGCAGAGGAAGCTGTGAAGTAGCAAACTCATTAGCATGCTGACAGGCTCTTTGTCAACGGTTTCTCTAAAAATATCTGCTCCTTCAGAAATCAGCTGCTGCTAATTCAAAAGAACTGGCAGAGATGAGTCTCTATAACACTTAGCTCGGCGTTTTACGTTCAGCTTCTGTCCAGCTTTCCTTTTATTTGTAGCATTGCATAGCTTTTCTTTCTATGCTTTTAACATTAACAAGCTAGAATACTATATGTATTTATGAGATCAAATCCAAGTTAAACAAATATTGATTTCTTTTAAATGAAGGTTTAACCCATTGTGTGTCTTTAGCTTTTGTAATCTAGCAGACCTCTTTTCTTTTAGATATTTTGTATTATATCTTCATAATCTAAATGGTTCTAATTTTAGGACTGTACAAGAAATCCGGCAAGTTAGTATTTCTTGGCCTGGACAATGCTGGCAAAACAACGCTACTGCACATGCTCAAAGATGACAGATTGGGACAGCATGTGCCAACTTTACACCCCAGTGAGTTGTTGCCACCTTCTCACACTTGCACGTCCTCCCATGCACACTTAGCTATGTGTGGAAAGATTATCCATGCAGTTGATAAATTAAAAGTAAAATGCAGCAGGGTGAATCTGGGCTACAACCTCACTCATAAATATTTCCTTTTTTTTTTCTCAGCATCAGAGGAGCTGACGATTGCTGGCATGACATTCACCACCTTTGACCTTGGAGGACATGCACAAGGTTTGTCATCTCTTTTTCTTTTTTATATAATTTAAATTTTGTCCATTTTATGGTAAACAAAGAAGCTGTTTGAAGATAAGTCGATAAGCTAGAATAAGTGTTTATTTTGTTGGTGCAGCCCGGAGAGTGTGGAAAAACTACCTCCCTGCCATCAATGGTATCGTCTTCCTTGTGGATTGTGCAGACCTTCAGAGATTGGCTGAATCAAAAACAGAACTTGATGTAAGTATGTACTAGCAATTCCTTGTTTTGTCATTAGGGTTGGAAATAAAGCTTAAAAGTAACCTGAAAAGTAAGTAACCAGGAACTTTCTTTGAATCTGTTGAAATTCATTTGGGATTTTAGCAACTTGTTTTGATGGGTTTGAAAACGGAACTTAATCATTTTTAGTGTGATTTCAATAAAACAACTCAGGGTTAATATAATCTGACAAAACTCCATTTTTAATATTCATTAATCAAACTTGCTCCTCTCACTTGTTCTTGTCTTTTCTAGGCATTAATGACAGATGAGACCATTGGAAACGTGCCTATCTTAATCCTTGGCAACAAAATTGACAGGCCTGAAGCTGTGAGTGAGGAGAAGCTGAGGGAATATTTTGGATTATATGGACAGACGACAGGCAAGGTAAGTAAACCAAGAATATCTATTGGTACCCAGCTTTTGCTTTTTTTTAAGTTTTTAACATTAAAACAAATCTTAAATTACTTTTTAATCGCTGACCTGAACTATAGGAAATCCCTATGACCCTTTTAAATAGGTACCAGCTCTGTTAGCCTAGTTTCAGTAAGTTATTACTCTCTGTATGGCTGGTTTTCCTTTACAATTCAGTACCACTGCAGTGTGACCATCGTCTGTTTGACACAAACTTAAAGCAACAGTGGAGGGCATTCTACACTGTTAACAATTTTTATTCATACTCATCTTAAAAGAAGGCTACAGGTGACAAGATAAAGAACTGGATCAGTAGGAGAGGGGAACCATTGAGCGATATAAATCTGAAAGGGGTAATTAAAAGTAAACTACCTAATGCTAGCTTGCTATGATCACTGTACACAAAATAAGCTAGGCATGTAGTGATTTAGAGGTTGAAGGATTTAGTTAGTGTAACATCAATCCTGACTAACATATATTTGCAACCTACAACTCTGCTCCCTAGTGAATTGGTGAACAGCAGTCTTCTGATGTCTCATTTTGAACTCGACTCTGTAGGTTTTGAACTACATTTAAGCAGGTGCTAAAACTAGGAACCGTTCAATTTAATCATTGCTACTGGAAGAGCCAAAAATTTGAAATAAATATAAATATTCAATATGGTGGAGTCTTCATTGGTTAAAGGTCATAGCTCATACTTTTTCATCAAAACCATGAAATTATTAGCTTTGCAACGCAGATGCCGGGAGAAAAACCAACATGGCGGACGGTAATGCAGAGAGCAATCGCTGTTTTTGAACTTTTTGAAACGATTGAGTTGTTAATGTTCTGGATCCAGTTGGAAGAGAAATGAAAAATCATGAGATGTGCCTTAGCACTACCACCCATGTTTACTTCCTTAAACAAAGGGCATGCTTGGTACTTGTGATGTCATCGCGTCCTCTACTATACTTACGCTGTATGAATGCAGTTCAAACAGGAGATCAAATACAGGTAGCATATGTTTGGAAATGTGAACGACCACACAAAAAAATCGGAATTGAGAATAAAGTCCTGCAGTGTGAATGTAGCCATAATCTTTAATGTCTCTGAAACAAATATAGCATGACGATAATTTAAACTGCACAAACCATTCAGTCTATTTGCTGATTTTTAAGTTCATCATGGGCAGGGTGCCAGCTTCATTTTTCTTCTGGTACTGTGCTTTGAGTTTTGTATTTCTATCATTTATAGGTTAAAGCTTTGCATTGTAGGATTTAGAATTTTTCTAAAATTTTGTTCTGTGGTCATTCAGTTGTTTCCTCGTATGGATAGGTCCTAAGTATTTAAATTACTTCATTTACAAGTAACTATGTTTGTTGGGGGAAAAAAGCATCACTATAAAACAGAATTTTAGAACGAGTATAATAAGAATAGTTTGATTTGTTTTGTTTTTTTCCCTTCTTCTCTTCCTAGGGCAATGTCCCTTTGAAGGAGCTGAACACAAGACCACTGGAGGTGTTCATGTGCAGCGTCTTGAAGAGGCAGGGCTACGGCGAAGGCTTCCGCTGGCTTTCCCAGTACATCGACTAAAGAGGCCCAGTCCCACAACTCTCCGCCATCTGCGACACTACCGTCTAGGGGGCGCCAAAACCAGCCAATCAAGACGCCCATCATTACCATCGTTACCATCATACTCGGCCTCATGTTCGGTTAATCAAGTCTGCCTCCGCCTTCAGAGAAACCAGTACGACTCGATCCCAATAGACTTTTATTGGTCGAACATTTGGTTCCGCACTTACTGCGTTCATACATGTTTGCGCACATTCATCTTTTTCTTTTTTCTCCAACAGCAAAGGGGTTCCCGCTCAAATGGTAGAATCTTTTCTATAACATGTCTGTCATTCGCTGTCCTGTCCCTCCTCTTCCTCGCTGCCATTTGTCAAGTGTGATGATAGACTCATGAAATTAATCTCTGTATGATTCTATTGGTAAATCAGCCACCTTCCCCCTTGTTCAGCTCCTCTGGAGCAAATGAGAGACAGCTATTTAGTTGAATACATAGCAGTACACTTTTTTTTTAACAGATAGTTCATTCCACATTGTATTTAATCAGTGTTTTTGCTTTGACTTGTTTTCTTTCTTTTCCCTCTTTTCAATATGGTTTGGGTAAAAGAAGATGCAACCACAGCCCTTACCATCACACATTTGGCCGTTTCACCTGTGTATATTAGTGTATCATAAATTAGATTCATATCTTTTAGTGGAAGTTGACACAGGTTTGTTTCAAGCTTCTTTCTGAACCACAGAACAGCTCTGAATGGGTCCAAATTGTGGGCTACCTTTTTAACAAGGACCATTAGGTTGCAATCCTACTAAAAAGGGGAGGGGGGTGTTTTCTCGTTTTAAATAGGAAATTAAACTGGCTACAACTCTGGCAACGTTTGATAAAATTATGTAGATATCACAAGGGTCAGCTGACCTAAAGACAGATATTTAAAGTACTTAAAACTTTGCAATAAACGGGCTGATTATAACCTGCCATAAGACATGCGGGGAGGAATAAACAGACAGTGGTTAAAAAATTAGGCAATAGTAGAAGTCATGCAGAAAATGAGACAGTTTTACAGGGTGAATTTAGTGACCAAGTGAACACAGCAGAGACTGGTAGGCCTAGGACACCTCTAACAAAGGGACCATATATTATATATATGAAATGTACACAAACATCGTACATGGATTTTCTACTTCTAAGTGGTATCCTTTGGAATATGTGCATTAACAGGAACTATTATGCATGCCTTGTTCTTTTGATTATTTTCAAGGACCATTGACTATAAGAGGGGAGACGATGCCAAAATTACCAACTAGAGATGATTGTCATGTTTTCTTTTTTTTTGTTTGTTTTTTTAAGGAAACAATGGATATGTGCATAATATACTTTAATCTGTCTCTGTCCTTGTGTCTCTTTCATTCCCTCAAGACTAAGAAATGAGCTGTTCCAACATTGATGGGACTTGCTGTTTGCATCATTAAAGAAAATGTAATAAATGTTTGCAATGAATGATCGGCCCAATTAATCTTACTTTTATTTGCATCATTCTAAGCAATTAAAATACCTTGCAGAATTAAAATGGGATAAAAAAAAAACTTCCACATACACAATGAATCTGTCAAATGCAGTAATAGCAAATGAGCCCAACTGCAAAGGGAACTACATGATTCGGTTTTTTTACAAAATAGAATCTTATGTGAAAAATAATTAAATTAGAAAAGCATGCTGAAAATACTGAGTATTAGAATTAAATATTTGATTTTTTTCTCAGTTCTAATGTTCAAACTTGATTTTCACACAGTACCTTCAATACAGTTCCAGGCTTTCAAATTGTCATTTATTAGGGGAAAACCATCTAAACTGATGTTTCCCCCTTACAAATATTTTTCAAAACTGACATAATTTTGATAAGTCATAGTGAAGACTGATGACTTGGAAACTAATACCTGTGTGACAACATGAAGTAGGCTGAAAGATTAAAGTTTCCTGCACAATGTGGTACAGTGTTACCAAAAGGATACTAAACCACCTGTTAAGGACGGTGGTGGTGGTGTAATTATCTTGGTCTGCTTTGCATTTTTTTTTTTTTTTTTTGCATTCTTTTGCATCAGGCCAATATTTAATGAAGTCATGATTTCTCCTCTAGTGGAACGTCCTGAAGGAGGGATGATACCCTGCTCACATTTCATGATAAGTTCAAACATACTTGGAGGTTATTAAACAATGGTTCAGAACTTGCCATCAATACATAATCTTCCCTGAAAAGGGCTTATGAAATAGCTTAGAGTTTAAGAGGCTGTGGCATAATCAGATGTTTGAGCTGCTAAACCCTGAAATAAAATTAAAAAATGGGGCCAATCTCATTGATTCAATCATTTGTTGGTAATGGATGTTGCCAAGAATACTTCTTAGGTTTAGGGGAACACTTACTTTTTGGTTGGGATAGCTTTTTCCTTTAATACAAACTGCATTTTAAACATCCTCACATCATCTTTGACATTCAGTTTTGTTTGATCATCTGAAACAATAAAGTGTAGCAAAAAAATAAATGGTCTGTTAAAGGGATACAAGTTCAAACCAGCCAGATTAGACAGCTGTATGATAGAGAGAATCGGCAAAGAGTTTAAACTTTGCATCTTGTTTGTTTAAAATATTTAAGGCTGTTTCTTATATAATTTAAACCCCAAATTAAATATTACTGCCCATGACTAGAGTCAGGGAAATCTGACGCTGTTGTCTGATCCTGTACGCCACCGGTGTCCAAAAATTTTGTTCCATATACCAAAATTACTGTTTATTTTTTAAAGCTGCTCCACAAAATATGAGCCTGTAATATTGTAGTAAAGTAAATAAGCACAGTAAATCAATATCTTATACATTTGTTGTTGAATATATATCTAAAAAAAAGTGGCCATACAGCTTGTAAATTATCACCGGTTATCATGTGAAAAATATACCGGTAAGGGAAAAAAAAAAAATATTTTTGCACAAAAGCCAGCATTTGAGTGAAGGTTATTGAATAGAAGTGGTCCTGTTTACTATGAAATGAAATAGAATGTAAAAAGTTGAATGATTAAGAGATGAACGCTTTTTGTTGTAAGTCAAATTTCTATTGTAGGAAGAATTTAACCTATCTGAAATAATTGGGTTGATAGTGGGTTCTCTAAATGTAAAATGAATCAAAAATAAATTATCAATAACAGTGGCTTTGATTCTTTTGTCATTTTGTTACATTTCATGTTTTGCAGCACTATTAGAAAATATCTATGTATTTTACATTTTTATATATATATATATATTTTTTTTTTTCTATCGTGTATAACAATGTTATAGTTACACAAAAAATAACTAAAATACACTTTATTCATTGCATGCAAGCTAAAACACTTTTGAAATATTATGTATTATGTTACATAACGGTGTGTACATTGAGAGGCTGAGTTATGTAATGCTACATGGCAGGAGCAGTGCACAATCTTGCCACTAGGTGGTGCGCAAAACAAAGAAAACTGCTTTAAAAAGAATTTTATACATTGGTTTAATAAGTTAGTAGGGCTGAAAAGGGTAAAATATTCCAAATGTTACCTTAAGGTCAAAAGCGTACCACCAACTGGATGGATTGGATTGTGCTTAGGTTATTTTATTATTATTATTTTTTTTATATAGGCACAGTTAGTTAATTCCTTCCAGTGAAACAAACTTTGCAAAGGAATTTTTCTAAGTAGTGTATTTTTTCCTTAATGATAGCTGCAATAAAGAGCATTGCAGATGGGGTTTAAAACCCAAAGTGTCACTCTGGGAATTAAAATAAGGCCCTTAACTCCATAACGCTCCCAGTGCAGCAGATCACTGCTCCTTACAAGATTGGTGGACAGATTATCTCATTGTTGGACTACAAGGAGTCTTTCATGGCTTTAAGAGTTTAACTTTTAGAGTAAATGTTTGTATATATGTTTAAAGGTATTGTGGAGGATGTTTGTGAATTTTTTGTAAGACCTGCCCTTTCCACATTAAAAAACAAAAACAAAAAACACATGCACAACCCTGTACCTGTTCCTGTTAGGGAATGCTTATTAAGAGAGCATGCACAAGCCCATTTCACCTTGTGCACGCTCTGTTTAAAAGTTGCTATTTGCATTGCTCACACAAGCTTACTTTCCAAAAGAAGATTTGTAATTTTTCCACTATGTCAGACTTGTAAGTGAAAGTGGGGGCGAGCACGTAGGACGGCCTTACGTGAACATACCACCAGAATGATTGAAAATTAGGAGAACCACTTATTTTGAAGATCCTCCCATAAAAAGAACATCCTCCATTATACCTTTAATATTTCTGTTTTAATTTTGTACAAATGTTGTTGACTCTCAAATACTCTAAACTCACCTGAAGTCTTGAGCTTTAAGAGTGCAGTCTCAGTTTGTTGCATAGCTTGTAGAAGCAGGAGAGTTGTGCACTACAAGGGAAAGGAAAATGGAATAAACAAATAGAAATAGATCATTCTATAGCTAAATGGAACACCAGAAAAAAGTCTGTACTTACAAGCAGTGGCGGGTCTAGACCAAATGTACCAGCGGGCCAGGAGGGGGCCAGAGTGTTTTCATGGGGGCAAAGAAAAGCATGAAAAAAAACAGGGCAAGGGATTCAAATATATTAAGATAGCTACATGAAGTGAAATTTCTATACATTTAGGTTTAATTAAAATTCTATTTCTTATGAGGTCAATATATGTTCATAATTTATATATTTTTGACTTAATTTAAGTTAAAATTACAATTTTCTATCAAATCTGAATTAGAATTCAAGAAAAACTAATAAATTCACCTGTAAAAATTTAAGCAATTTGTTTTGAGCAGATGAAAACTGGGATCCTATCTCAATACCACTGAAGCTATCAGCTTATTGTTTTTAAACAATTAGTAAAACAGAATTTGTAAAGAAAAAAAATGAATTACTAATTACTGATAGATCCAAAGGACCTATCAGTAATATGTCTGTTCCAGTGCATATCATCATTAGAATTTCTTTTTAGTGTTATGTCTTCAGTACAGGGGCCATAACAGGGGCCGGGACATGATGTACAGGGGCACTGGCCCCCGTTGGCCTTTGTCTAGAACTGCCCATGCTTACAAGTATGATGCATTTAGCACAAGGTTTTAAAAGAAATTAAAATGAGATAAA